ACGGCGGTTGAATAGCTCCAGCTAGGAAGACGCCCCCGACGGCACGGAGGATGACTTCGCGGTTAATATCTGGAGAAAAAAGAGTATACAGACAGTAACTGGTCCGTATAAGTTACGCTGGTCCACAAAGTTGGGCCAGTAGCTCAGTGACTCCAATTTTTGGCCCAGCAGCAAGGCAGGGCACTAGTATTTCCTTTAACAATAAAAACAGTTTAGTGGACGTCACTTCCACGTGAAGTGGAGTACTCCCGATCGCAGTCGGCAGTCACGAGGTCCATGGCAAATAAGCCAGAGGTGACCACGCTTTTGATTCACATCTCGCAAAATGAGTTAAAAGTAGAAGCAGCAATGTGTACCATCAGATTTTGGGGGGAGGAGGAGGAGGAGGAGGAGGAGGAGGAGGAGGAGGAGGAATACGACCTTATGGCAACGTTGCCGGTCATACCAGTATACCTGCGCAGTTAACGTGGGGTAATAAGTAAGGTTAGCCAGTAATACCTTTGGCGTAGCGATCCTCCATAAAAAGGTCAGGCTCTTCGTTTCGTGAATCTGATACAAGGATGCACCTAGAGAGCTCCTCCAGCGGGAAGGCCGGCAGAGACTGCAGATACGGGACAGAGGCCATTTCCTCATAAAGGTTTACCAGAGGATGTAGGTTTAGAGCAGCTATGCAGACGCCCTTGAGGAAGTTCCAGGCACGCAGCCTAACCGGTCGGTCCATGCTGCCATCCTTCATTAGACACCGAGAAAGATATAAGGTAATTAGTTTATACAGTGCGCAGTAACCGGAAAAAGTGCAAACATTGTTCTACACAGACTACCACAAGGGCGCATAGATGAATGGGAGTAATTTAGCGAAAATTGAAAGTACGGCGTGTGTATGTTTGCAAAAATTCCAGAAAAGCAACAATATGCAACACGCCAGGTCTATTCAACCTGCGAGGGGTTTCGGAACTAGTGATTCGAGTTTCACCGAAAGTCGCCGGTCGAGATATCACTTTGCGAAATCACACGGTTATTGCGATACATTTCATATTCCATGAAGACTCCCAATTGTCTACGGCAGCATCCTTGCAGTAGCCGAGGTCAAGAGGAACGTTTGACATCCGCTTTATGGACATAAACTCCAACCGCAAGCTGTCCCATCTGATAGACCAGGGTGTAACCCTCACAACATCTACTTAAAAATCCCTTTGACAGATTGTCACATAAATATTTGAAAGGAACTTTGGGAGCGGAGTTATTTCAGAGAGCTCGTCAATGGAGATCGCGATAACGGAAGCACAAGTAAGGTCCGCAAGTTGAGAGTTGTGCCTATGGACATGAAAGAGGTGGCGAACTTATGAAGAACGACGAGAGACGGCTTTGGGAGAGAAGAAGGTAGGTAAAACAAAAACAGACACACGCACACATACCTGAACCGCTTCTACAGCCGCATCTACAAGAGTGCGAATGGGCAAGTCCACAGGCCGACTGGGATATTCGGTCAACCAGAAACGCAGTAGAGGGCCAGCTTCACCGCAGCCAACGTCCAGGTTGAGACGCTGTACATCGCCAATGTCTGCCCGATTATAGCGTCCCAGCTTGCCCAAAACCTAGCCAATTGAAAAGCGGCAACAGCAGGTAATGGTTATGGGGCGATGCCTCAAAAATATGCGTGTACCTGCTGTACGAGAACACAAGGTGGCTCACCTTGAAGGCCATCTTCTGCACGTACTCGCTCTGTGAGTGCAGAGAATTGTAC